GTGCGGTGCGGCTGAGTGTGCTGAGAGCGCTGACGGGACGGTACGGGGCCGCCTGCGACCCGGCGGGGCGGCGAGCAGAGGGAGACTGGGGCGGCCACGCGCAGGGGGGTTATAAATAAGGGGAGGACAATCACCGCTCGGTGGAGGGGGAAGGGGGTTGTTGACGCGGGGCCGCCGGCGCCGCGTCTCTCGCTGTTGATGTTGATGTTCGGGTGCGGGGGTGTTGTTCACTATCTTTTCTGGTTAGGGGGATATTTATAGTACGCACACTAGACGTTTCGTTTCCCTCAGATCCGTTCTCATACGGTATCAAGTGGTTTGGGTCTGGGGGTTGAAGCACGTTTAAGCCCTACTTCCACCTTGGCTGCCCTTTTCGAGGCATAGGCGCCACCGGACCTGCGTGGCCGCCGCCTGAGGCGCCTGGGAGGTAGGCCGGCAGTGGCGTGCAAGACACTCGTGCGCGGCGGGTCTGCCTATGCACAGGCGCGCTGGAGGGCCGTGCTGACCTGCTTACCTGCGAGGTCGCCGCCTGGGGCACCTGGTGAGCGATTAGAGACCTCACGGTGAGCTCACTTGAAGAGCGTTCTCAGAACGTTTCCACCACCCCCCTCACCCTGTTTTGAGCGGTTTAGAAGACTTCCGGTGAGCTCACCGTGAGCTCTCCAATCGCTCTCCTGGGAGGTAGCCGGCAGTGGCGTGCAAGACACTCGTGCGCGGCGGGTCTGCCTATGCACAGGCGCGCTGGACCGCCGGCGGCCGTCGCGGGGCGCGGCTATAGGGCAAGCTGGCCCTCCGCGACCTCCCGCGCGCGCCCCCGCGGCCCCCGGGCAGCATCGCGCCGGCCCACACGCCCAGACACGCGCCCCACGTGGCGGTGGCGTCGACGGCGAGGACCGTTCCTTGAATGGGCGCGCGGCGTGGCGGGGCGTGGCAGGATGTTGTCGTCCCGCGGGGGAGGCGCGGGCGGCGCCCTGACTTCACAAATATTACAAAACTCGCCGGCGCCCTTGGGGCTGCTCGGTGTCGGCGCGGGCGCCCCGGCTCGGTCCAACTAGAGGCGACCGTTGTTCAGCGAAAACAAGGGCGGCGTGGCGACGCGACGAGCTGAGCTGACCGGGGGCGGGCGGTGCACCGCGGCACGCGCACGCGCACCGCGGCCGCAGTGACCCACTTGCAGCAGCATCGCAGTGTTTATGTGTCGCGGGGCGGTAGCGGGAGGAGTCTGCAAACAGGAGCCGAGGGCCGCACTCGCTGTGCGGGGCGGCGGGGAAAATAAAACAGAGAAAGTACCCACGAGTATAACAACCCAAGGAGTACACTGCAGTGCAAGAGAGCAGCAGGCATCACCCGGGCATCACCCCTCAGTCGAAGTTAGGTTAGACCGCTTCACACGACATGCGGGGGTAGGTCGAGGTCAGAAAGCGTGTTCTTCCTGCTACACCTTGCTGGTTGGAGGCTAGTGAGTCAACGAGCGCAGTGCGACGTAGACGAAGCGTCAGGTGGCCTGGGATGTCGGTTTTACACCATACAAGCCGGTTCCGTCGGGCGGGTAGCAGGCACCCTGCCATTGTCTGCTCGGCCTGACCAACGTTTCCGCGGGGGGTGGCGGGGGGCCACTCACGGGGCCCCGACGTCACGGGACCACGCCCCCGCCCCGAGCGCGCAGTGCGGCGCCGGCCTGGCACGGCGCCACCTCACATGATCTGTCTGCCCGCGGATCTTTTCAAACTTTCTGCGAATCCGCTGTCGAGATGCTTATTCCCGCTTCGGGTCTCAGCTCTTCTCTGTCTGGCGGGGGCGTGTTTAGTCTCTGGTTTCTGTCTCCGGCCAGGGACCTGCTTTGTTGCGCGCATTTAGGACGCCGAGAAAGGGGTGTTCCGTAATCGTAAGATATTAAATGCAGTGATGCGCGTGAGAAGTGAAATAGGCGCTATTTGGGTTCATATTTTGTTTGCTTATTTAAGATGAAGATTGAGCAGGTGCGTTTAAGGGGTGAAGGGGGGGGGGTGATCGCTAGGGCGCCACTAGAAAGGCGCCGTAAGGTAGGCAATTGGACCTATTTTATTTCGGACTATTTCGGGGGAAGGTGTACGGACTATTTCGCAAGTGATTTCCCCCTCGGCTGTACCTAGACTCGTTTTCGTGGAATATTAACACAGTGAGCTCTTTGGTTTTATTTTCGATCAGCCCATCGGATTCCTCGTGAAACTTG